CAGTAGATGCTTTTTTTTCTATAATTTTCAATTAAAGTACATTTCTTCTAGAAAACACGTCATTCATTGATAACACTTCGTTAGGTTTAGCTATCTATTATTCTGTTTGATTAAAAGTACTTTTCGAGTTCGTTAGACCATTATTAGTAGATTTTCTTCAGTTTGAGTTTATTAACGTAACGAACGGATAGTCTTTCAGTTCTACGCACAAATGCCCAATGATTATGGTTCAGAAAAAGGTCGGAAAGTAATGATTTTACAATGACTAAGGAGCTATTTGTTGATCTCTCTTCTCCCTATATTTCATTGCTCGACTAATCAGTTAATACTGTGAAGCGAAAATTAATATTGAATACTCTGGACATTAAAAGTGGATTTTGACAATTGAAATAAATTTTAATGACTTGATATAGCCTACATTTTACTGTTGCGTAATAAGTGGTTAAGATAATTTCAAGTATTGGGATAATTGATAGCATCAATTTGCACCATTTCAATATTCAATCAGACGTCTGTCGTTCCTGCAAACTAAACGCTAAGAGCCTTATGTGATAAAGCATATTTTGCGATTAGTGCCGTCATCAAACGCTTATTTTTTGTGGACTTGCAGCAACCACAGACGTCTGACTGAAACCTGGAATGGTACAAATTGATGCTATCACTGTCCCCGATACACATACAAAATTTAGAAAACCTCTTTACAATCAACCTCAACGAGTTTGTTGATTAGGAGTATTTAAAGGGATATTCGGATTTTTAGTAAAAAGTTTTCATATTCAAAAACGTCGTAAATTATACCTGAAAATATTTACATAAAGTATAAATGTTTATATCTATGTAGCCTTTCTTCTTGATCAAACTAAATTTGTTTTAAAAGAGTTTATTAAAAACGGAGAGTACCAGTAATTGAGCAGTTTGGCCTAGTTTTTGGTTTTATAATGGCTCGATATTATTGAAACCTTTCGACCTTTCGACGAAAAAAGCAGAATTTCCCTTTAAACACTAATAAAGCGGAACCGTAGTACCGTATAGGTTTAATGAAGAACCAGTGTACCTTCCGTTAGGTATATAACTGTTGTTCTATGATTATTAATGATTATTATTGATTAATGTGAAGGTTTATTGTAACGAGGAGCTGTAGAACAAGACATAATTAAAAATTTAATACCGATTCATCACCTGTTATAGAAATTTTATGATCCAGTCGTTTGATCCTTCCGGGCTTTATGATAAATATAGTGATGATTACTTGACAATTAGATACTAGCCGAAAGTCTTTATTTAGCACATCTAGATAATCACGAACCTGGAACTTGGACAATATACTACATTAAAGGCCTTCGTATACCAGAAACGACAAAACACGGTACGACATGACACGACACGATACGACTTTTTAATACACATCCAAATTGACTGAAACGGCAAAAAAACATTTAGACGACATTGGAACGACACTTCAAAAAACGAAAGAGATTATTTTTTTAATTTCGATTTGTCGTGTCGGAGAACGTCATGCCATGACGTGTCGTACCGTTCTCATCATGACTGTATAGTCTATGCAGTTTATATTGTTTTATTTTTTGTCATGATGTACGTGTTGTGGCGTCTTATTCCTGATGTTTTTGGAGGCAATATATTATTTTGACAGAGCAGGCCCATCCATGCAGTCGGCGTAATAAGTAGTTTTCAGCCGGTGCTTTCGTAATTTCAATTGTATTATGTTTTTACAATCACTTTCACTAATAACCCCATAAAAACAGAGAATATTATACATCGTTAGGATCGTAATCGAGTCGACTTTCAGATGAATTTTCCTTTAACGCGCTTCTGAGAAACGGTGGTTTAAAGGCATACTACCCTTTAGTCTCAAACTTGGTCAATAAGTGTATATATTCATCAGATGGGACTTACCAGGTACCATGACTAAAGAATAGAATCTCTATAATTATAACATGATCCATTAATTATTGAAAATCACTTCTTAGTACGTTTCAAGATTACTCAGTTTAATGAATTATGACTTAGTTTTATGAATTATTACATAGTTTTATGGACATATTGGATATTGGCCATCCTCAGAAGCATTTCCTTTAAACCATATTTCTTCACCGTTGATATAGACCTTATCCAAGGATGGTAGAAGCAGATCTCTAGTTATATCTATCTAATTACTTGACCGCATCATGATATTATCTTTAGAAGTAGAATTGAATTAGCGTCATGACTGTGTTTTCTTTAAACAGCATGCTTTTATAAAGACGTCTGTTGAAAGTTGAATTAACTCGTCCATTCGTTGAAGATTTCAATTTTTTAGAGCGAGTCTGCAACGAAAATGTTTCGAAATAGGCCCAATTGGACACTTCAACACAGTTAGCTACAAAGACAAAAATGAAATAAATCCATTAACGAAATTTCATTAAATCTAATTTTTTTTAGATTTTTTTTTTAACGACTGCGCCATATTTAACGCAGATGTGATTTCTTCAGAAAAATCATTTTGAAATTCAATTATTTCATATTTTTCACTTAACGTTTATGCTTTAAAAATGAATTATTGATCATAATATAAAGTGGGGAACTTAAAAGGGTTGTTTAGAGTTTTTCCAATAAGGATGACTGATAGCAACGATTTGCAACATTCCAATTTTCAATCAGACGCCTGTGGTTCCTGCAATTCCACTAAATCTAAGTGTTTTATGACGTTAGTAAACAACGAGGCTGTTTAGAGGTTTCTACAAAAAATTATTTGTGTTTACGGTTACTGATAGCAACGATTTGCACCATTCCAATTTTCAATCAGACGTCTGCGGTTCCTGCAATTCCACTAAATCTTAGTATTTGATGACGTCACTAATCGCAAATTCCTTAAATGATAGTATCACTGATAAAGCATATTGTGCGATTACTGACGTCATAAAACGCTTTGTTTTAGTGGAATTGCAGGAACCACAGCTGTCTGATTGAAAATTGAAATATGCAAATCGTTGCTATCAGTCACCGTCAAGAATCGCAAAGGTTTTTATATAAATTGTATATATATAGCAGCTTTTTCGATAGTGACGTCATAAAACGTTCACTTTTAGTGGAATTGGTGTCCCTGATACACATAGAACGTAATTTAGAAAACCTCTTTACAATCACTTTAAATTGAAATGAGGTATATAGGGCCCAGACTATAGAACGCGATTATTGCCCTTCGAAGTATATAGGTATATAGGTATATAGGTTACCTTACGTCGCTTCCACAGAGTTGCAACATCTTGAATCCTCTGAATGACAGATCCGCCATTTTGTCAGTCTGCCACAAATGTGTACCCTCAGTTTCTGGAGTCTAGCGCCGCCACTAATTTGATAGCCAACTATCTCACATATCTATTTACTTGGCATCCGAAAGTCATCGTCGCCATTTTTCTAACAGTTGACGTTTTGCCTTGCGACTCCGTGTTTAAACTGGACACCTATTGTGTTCGCTTATCGCTACAGTAATAAATCTAACAGTCAAAATATTGACTGCGGGATTTGGCGAGTCGTTATCTATTTAGCTTAAGATGGAATGGTAAACTGGTCCGCCATTCCATCGAAAGCTTCGCACATGTAGCGATAAGCGAACACAACAGTGGCCCAGTTTAATGGAATGACCGACTACTTGACTACGTGTCTTGCTTCAGGTTTTTGCCAAGCTAGGCGTGGATAAGGTCTTTAAAAACTAAGTCACTAAGCCTTTGTTTATCTTTAAGAAGGCTAAACATCTATTCATAATCAATCATTTTATTTTTAATCAAGACTCAATTTTAATATAGGTGACAAGGCAGGAAATTACAACCAATGACAATAAAGAACTCAACTCGATTATTACATTCGCACATGCAAATAATCACATAAATATGAATTTCATCGCGAATTAAAGGGATTGTTAAATTGTTTTCTATATTTTTTATGTGTATCGGGCACACTGATTGCATCAATTTTCACCATTTCAATTTTCAATCAGACTGTCTGTGGTTCCTGCAATTCCACTAAAACAAGATGTTTGATGACTAATCGCACAATATGCTTTATCACAAAAGGCCTTTCGCGGCGTAAAACAATTAGTTTTAGTGGAATTGCAGGAACCACAGATGTCTGATTGAAAATTGGAATGGTACAAAATGATCTATAAGTGTTCCTGATAGACATAAAATATAGAGAACCTTTTTACAATGGAAATTGTGATGTTCTGTTTACACATGCCTATATCCTTGAGTGCTTAGTGCTCTGGGTAATGCCGCTGTCATGGCAAAATTTCCCTCATTGCACCCTGATTGCCTGTCTTAATTAGCACACATGGTTCAGAAAAGTAGGACATAAAACTCCATTCATTTCAATTTCTTGTACAGTATAGTAGAGTCTCAACACTGAAGTCTATTTCGCCCGTGAACTTCTTGAATAAATTCTATTAGAATCAACCTTTTACGGACATAGCCAGATTTGACTGGCAAATGCAGCGAAATGTCTTATCCATTCCATGTACTGCAAGAGTGTTATATTGCTGTTGTCGGATAACAGATTAACCACATTGTTAAAGAGGCATTCTGAATTTTCATTATTTATTTAAAGTGATGTTAATTATACGCGAAAATGTGTTATTCACTACAAAATCAACTTGAAGTAGTTTTAAAAGGGTTAATTAATTTGGCGATTCTATATTATTCGTTGAAACCTTCCGAATAAGTAGGAGACCCATTTTCTATAATTTGGCTTTTTTGTGCTAAAATTCGAACATCTGTTTTCCAACTACAAGCCGAAATACATAGCGACGTTAAAATACTTATGTGAACCTATTAATTAGTTTTGGCGTTAAAAAATTAACGGCAGAATTATTTTTTGTTAAAATTTTTAATTAAGTTAAGGAACAACTTTCCCTAGATTTTTGTATACAGTTTTCATAAATCTGAGCAAAAAAATTTGGTCAACAAAAAAGCAGAATGCCCATTTAAAACATCGCCATATAAACTTATTCACACCATGGTACCATGTTCTTGCTTTGGTTTTATAAAACATAGAATTCGTCTCAATGTTCGTCGAAATTTCCTACTAAAAAAGGAATAAAGATAAAAATTCACCGAGGCATTCAATTGGACCAGTAGATTACATATATTCCCTGCTACGCGGATGTCGTTCATTGGCTGAGGTAAACCGCGTTCCGACAGGTACGTTCTATACAGCAGTAACACTGTCCATGGTAACTGACACAATAAAAATATGATTACTATGGTAACCAACATCAACGTCATCTTGTGTTGTTCCCGCCGATTTTTAACACTGGCCTTTTTACTCTCCCAATGTAGCAGTTGTTTACGGTTCTTACTCGCCTCTAAAAGAGTACGTATTAACAAGGCATTGAAGACAAATAAGAACGAAAATGGGATGAAAGTAAAAATTGAAACGAACCACCAATAGTACCCAATTTGATAGCTGGAATATCCACTGAATATAGTCGGCTCACATCTATGTCCGCCATTTTGTAAACTCACGATTTTTGTTTCGAAGAACTCCGGAAATGTATTAATGATACAAAACAAGATTGTTATAAAAGAGATTATTTTAGCCTTCCGAACCGTACACCACACTTTTCCCTTGATAGGAGAACTCACGCCAATGTAACGTTCTATAGTGAACGCGACTGTTATCCAGACGGCTACATTTCCCGCCAAATCTGTGATAGGTCTGGCATACACTATGAAATAGAAAGCAGTGATTGGTTGATATGTGTTCCGACAATGAATAAATGATAAACACAGGGTCAATATAAGATACGTCACATCCGCTACACACAAGATAAAGAGGTAGAAATTGGTTGAAATACCTTTCATATGCTTATGACGTAACACTAATATATTTAAACCGTTGCCTAGCAACCCTATCGTGCTAATTAATGGCACAAGCAATTTCTGGACGACGTAACGCGTAATTTCTAACGATTCCGGTACTTCCGGTGTCGGTACTGTAGAGTTATCCTGCATTGACAGTACTTGTGTGAAATTGTCTGCCATCTTGATTTGATCTTTTGACCGCCGGAAATCAAGCTAGAAGCCTATCAAGGTGCATCTTTTAAAAAAAGCATTAAACCAGATACGTCGTCTGAATTGTCCATCATTCTTACACAGACGATTTTATTGGCAATTATTTTCACTAACTCAATCGACAACTGTGGTCTTTCACTATAAAGGGCGTGAGAGATTTATTCTAGCAATTAATCCAAACTTCGCGCCACTCATGAACAGACGACTTGGGGGATTTGATCGTTTTGACTCAAAAGTGTCTAATTTCAATCTGCTTGTGATAAATGGCTAAAATTGTCGTATCCGCTTTATCGTCTGATCACAATCTGGTTGTGTTTATTGGCCAAAATTGCTGTGTCCGTTGCGTCGTTTGATCACAATCTGTTTGCGATTATTGGCTAAAATTACCGTATCCGTTGCGTCGTTTGATCACAATCTGCTTGTGATATATGGCTAAAATTACTGTATCCGTTGCGTCGTCTTATCACAATCTGGTTGTGTTTATAAGCTAAAATTGCTGTATCCGTTGCGTCGTCTTATCACAATCTGGTTGTGTTTATAAGCGAAAATTGCTGTATCCGTTGTGTTGTCTGATCACAATCTGATAGTGTTAATTTGCCTAAATTTCTGTATCCATTGCGCCGTCTGATCACAATCTGGCAGTGTTTTTGAGCTAAAATTACTGTTTACGTTGCGTCGTCAAATCACAATCTGATTGTTCTTTTTTGGTTAAAATTGTTCTTCCGTCTTGATATTTCCCGTAAATCTGTAATTCGACCCCGAGAGGAAGATGATCACAGATTTCACTGGGTCAGACAGAAATAATGTCTCCAATTTATGATGATTATATGGCAGATTTTTCTACTCTCATGTGAATACCTGCCAAATTGTCTTCGAAAGGTATTTTCTTTTTGTCGTAGCCGAGGAGATAAATTAACGCTGTAATGTCTTTCTATTCAAATATTAATATTACACTTCCGATTATTCGTCTGGCAAGAATTAAATTTTTTTTAATCACAAACGCTATAAGCTGCAGATTGACGGACGATATAAAAAGAAAAAAAAATTCTTATAAGATTATTTTACCTTTTGTCGAGGTTGTATCACAAGTAAGATCGCAGGAATACGACGTCGAAAGAGTTGATTCTACGAAAAAAATTAGCATTTAATTTTCTGCTTTGGCTGTAACACAGTTCTCTTAACGATTTTAGTACGATTGTGTGAATGAATATTCCTCGCTACTTAAAACCAACGTCAGATGGTTTTACTCAAAGATAATTGTAACTTATTTTTTTTGTTTCTTCAAAAGCACACCACCTTTTAATGTAATGATCATGTAAACCACTCAAGCAAAATATAATAAGATTCGCTCACTTTCTTTCTAACCATTACACGGGGCAAAACAATTTTTTTTATGCACTTTTACCTATTAACAGTAACACAATATTTTTATGAATTATTCGCTCCACACCGTTATATCGACCAGATTATCTGAAAACAGCACTTTGTATTCCATGTTTTCCTGTGGGAAGAAATTTTCCGATTTTGAAAAACTGCCACAAGACTTTTTTATCTGATCGTTCTTACTCGAACCAAAATAACTCTGTTTTTCACTTGAAACTTTCTAATATTTCTATCGCGCGCACTTTTCTCTTCTTCAAGTTCGTCAAGAAACCAACCTGTTTTAATCCTTATATCCTTATATAATATAAAATATACAGCAGTTATCAGCTGTGGAAATTAAATTTCTTATGAAAATCTATAAGTAACAAGCTCGTGGGACTGATTTAAAACTGTTTTTTTTTTACCTCCGCTTGTCACACCACTGTTCCACTAGTTTGTAAATGATAAGATTCATCTAGAAAACTCTCAGTTGTTGAAATTTGCAGCTATTGTTCATTGTTTTACTACTATAGGCCTACTATACTCCATTTGGTATTCCTGTTGAAGTAGTGGGTAAACCTGACGTTGTGATACGGTTTTGTGTTGACTTTATATTGTCTTTGGTGTTCTAGCTTCTGGTAATATTTTGATCGATATCTCTGAAATAATAAAGACACCATTAAATTGAATAATAGATTATATTATCAACTGAAAAGATTGAAAAAAAATTTGCATAAAAGGTTTAGTGTTGCCGTTATTGTCCTTGACTCTGTAAGAAAAACCATGGAATAATAAACTTTTAAGCGAGTTTTGAAAACAGAGGGGATCGTTCTGAAATCAATATCTCTGTTATAATTGTAACAGAAACACGTATTAAGTTGAATTCATTTGATTTTAAAGAGTTTATTATTTCCAATGGTATCTCTTAAAAATCCAAATTCCAAATCGTATCTTAGTTTCAGAACCGGGATTTTTCAAGCAAAGCTAATTAGTCATAGTGTTAAGAGCTTTCCGTCGAAATTAGAGAGTTTAAATTAGAGCCTTCAAATCCATCTATGTCCAGAATTATCCGCGCTTGAAAGCTAAAATGATGACTCGTAATTTCTTGAGACTCAGTATCTCTGAAGACTATTTACATAAATATATTCAAGATCCGAATCAACCCCCGAAAACGTCGGAACTGTCCCTTTAAGCCAGACTTTGAAATGACAACCTACACACACAATTACGGGAGGAAATTACAGCAACAAAATGCAACCCTTTACTGCCAAATGCTGAATGACAAGACGTCGTGCACATTACATTAATTCAAGTATCATGGAAATGAAGTGAAAGTAGGTACTCGAATGACTGTCATAATTCTAGAAGGCGGTCATCTTGTCACGCACTCACTTAATGTTCCAACCTGAAGTCGTTTGAGAAAATAAAACATCATATAATAAAAAGAATTTGACGAGCAAGGTAATCTAGTAGCAAGTGTTGAATGTTGTAAGTGGCTTCTTAACAAGACTTACAGCTTATATTTTGGTTGTGTAAATATAATGTCATTATTCATCCTAGTTCGGGGGTTTTCAACCTTTTTCTCTCTATGACCCCTTTTCAGGTCCTTGATCGATTGCATTACCGGCTTTCACCTATAAATTCACACTGTTCCCCAATTCCCCCTATAAATCCTTACTACAATAACACCAATGGTAATATCAATTCTTTATTGAATCTTTCCTGGGTCTGGGAGAAAGACGTATCAGTTGAAAGTAGGATCTCGTGCTATCATAGCTTACGGCGAATTTGTCCATCAAGTTTACCTTCAATTTATTAATGGGAACAGGATGTTGAGAAACCCTTCAAGTGGCTTTGTGTCCATGATATTGTGAAGTTGACATTTTATAAACGCTGTTATCAATTAAAGAGCCAGAGTCGCCATCTGTTGGACCATTAGAACATTAATCTCAGAAGCGGAATTTTTTAGCTGAGCTAATTAGTAATAGTGTTCACAGCTCACCGTCGAAATTTGAGCCTTCAAATCCATGAGCGTTAAGAATTATACGCGTTTGAAAGTTAAAATGACGACTCGCCTTTCTTGATATACAGTCATACAAAGAATAGACGTGAAAAGAGAAAGTGAAAAGTTTGAGATATTTTTGAAGGAAATATGCGATTATCGTACATTTCTATTACTTTGAAGATTATTTACATCCATTCGCAACGCCCGAAAATGACGAATCTGTCCCTTTAAAAAACACACAATTCATAAACTTTGAAAATTCTGTCCTATTGTTCCTCAGGAACATTATATACAAAGCTATTTTCTCAACAATATTTTCAAGTACTCAGACAATCGTAATTAGGCGAATCTAGAGTTGAAATAAAGGATGTAAAACTCCATTCCAGTTATTTCAAGCACTCATTATGTGCAATACTTTCGATTATAATCAGCCTCCAGGTGGCACGACCTACCAATACTATGATATCCTTGATGTATTTGAATGTGTGAACTTTTGGGGTATAGAGTAGGGTACTGGGACATAGAGTAAGATTTTGAGATAAAGAATACGATTTTGGGACATAGAGTAAGATTTTGAGAAATAGAGTGATATTTTGGGACATAGAGTAAGATTTTGGGATATAGAATAAGATTTTGGGATATAGAGTAAGATTTTGGGACATAGAGTAAGATTCTGAGATATAGAATAAGATTTTGAGATATTGAGTAAGATATTGAGATATAGAGTACGATTTTGTGACATAGAGTAAGATTTTGGGATATAGAGTAAGATTTGGTGATATAGAGTAAGATTTTGGGACATAGAGTAAGATTCTGAGATATAGAGTAAGATTTTGGGACATAAAGTAAGATTTTGAGATATAGAATAAGATTTTGAGACAAAGAGTAAGATTTTGGGATAAAGAGTAATAATTTGGGACATAGAGTAAGATTTTGGGACATAAAGTAAGATTTTGAGATATATGGTAAGATTTTAAAACATAGAGTAAGTTTTTGGGACATAAAGTAAGATTTTGAGATATACAGTAAGATTTTGGGGACATAGAATAAGATTTTGGGATATAGAGTAAGGTTTTGAGATATAGAGTAAGAAGTAAGATTTTGAGATATAGAGTAAGATTTTGAGATGCAGAGTAAGATTTTGGGATGAAGAGTACGATTTTGGGACATAAAGTAAGATTCTGAGATATAGAGTAAGATTTTGGGACATACAGTAAGATTTTGAGATATAGAGTTAGATTGTGGGACATAGAGTAAGATATTGAGACATAGAGTAAGATTTTGGGATATAGAGTAATAGTTTGGGGACAAAGAGTAATATTTTGGGACATAGAGTAAGCTTTTCGGACATAGGGTAAGATTTTGAAACATAGAGTAAGATTTGAGATATAGAGTAAGATTTTGAGATATCGAGTAAGATTTTGAGATATCGAGTAATATTTTAGGATATAGAGTAAGATTTTGATATATAGAGTAAGATTTTGAGATATAGAGTAAGATTTTGAGATATAAAGTAAGATTTTGGGACATTAAGTGTAAGAATCTTTCCAAACATATATATATGTAGATTTGGCGGATAAGATTTATATAAATCGGTTAAAAA